AATGTATTTTTTGGTGTGCCACAGAGTTTTCATCATTCGTTGATGTGCCGGGGATGAAAAAGGTTGAGAACCGCTGCTACATCCCAAGACAAAAGTCGAAGTGGAAATAATACAATTCTCCAGCCAAAGCTGAAGTTATCTCGTGATATTTTTCTATCTTGATTAGATCAACTGGATCAATTGGGTAATTTTGAAATCTTCATTCAGTGTGGACCCCAGGTGACTGACACCATTAACACGAAACTCATACAATTTATATTTAAAATGAACTGCTTTTTGCTACATGGTCGTCAGACACATCTTGGTAAAATGTGGGTAGAGCTGTATGTCAGCTTTCTCGCTGCAGAAGGTGTGATGTGTTCTCGACCTGTTATATGATCTCCAGCTGAACAGCTCCGTTTAGGAGTGTTCTTACTTAGAGCAGGCTTCTCTCGAAGGTGCGCCATAAACGCACGCAGGTGCCAGCCACCTGCCCCCTGGTTCCCATCAAATATGCTCGCAGGTGATGACATTTTAAATGTCACAATAGCTCACAGCGCAGCTAATTGCACTAAATTCTAGAATAACTGTGTTTTGTACTGTACACCCAGATGCCTTCGAATTCACAAGCGGATTGAAGCAAACTCGAGGTCGTATCATCATGGATACTACAAAATCATTCATCTGCTCAGAAAAATCAAACGAGCAAACAGATTTCCCTTATGAGTATGCAAAAATATAAGTCCGCTTTCCATCTTCTGTTGGTCATCAGTAAAAGTTGATTAATCTCATTGGGTTAATTCTAAAGAACAAGAGTGTACACATTTTTCCTTTGCAATTTTCAAAATCCTTCGATCAGATGTATGGACAATAATCAAAGTGTTGCAGCACTGGGTAAGTTAGTATATTTAGGATTAGTCACGAGAATACACGGAGCCAAGCTCATTACTAAATGACCTCAAGCGGGGAGAGAGAACAAAAACACTAGGTGACAAACATCAGAACCCTAAAAAGAACAGGCTGGAAGGATTAGGAGCGTAATATAGATGACATTTCACGTGAGTACATGAGGACTCGTAAACTTTTTTTTTTTTTTTAGTTTTTAAAGTATATATTTTTATTTTTTTTTAAATTTTATTTATTTATTTATTTTTTTGTTACAGATATTTTACCTTTTTACCCCATTGGCACCCCCACCCCACCCCCCCTCCACCCTGTCCCCGGCTTAGTTGTCCATGTCCATTGGTCATGCATACATGCATATAAGTTCTGTGGTTTATCTCTTCCCACCCCCCCCACCCCCCATCCCCTCTTCTGAGGGATGTCAGTCTGTGCCTTACTTCCATGTGTCTGGGTCTACTGTATTCCTCAGACTGTTATGTTCATTATATTCTGTATATAAGTGAGATCATGTGGTATTTATCTTTTTCTGCTTGGCTTCTTTCACTTAGGATAATACTTTCCAGGTCCCTCCATGTCGTCTCAAAGGATAAGAGATCTTTCTTTCTTACCGCTGCATAGTATTCCATTGTGTATATGTACCACAGCTTTTTTATCCATTCGTCTACTGGTGGACACTTGGGCTGTTTCCAGATCTTAGCTATTGTAAATAGTGCTGCTATGAACATGGGGGTACATATATTCTTCCTGATTGGTGTTTCAGGCTTCTTAGGGTATATTCCCAGCAGTGGGATCACTGGGTCGAATGGAAAGAACTCGTAAACTTGAATCGAAACACCAACCACCCAGATACAGAGCAGGGAGACGGGGCATGGCTGAGCCCCTTCAGGTAGAACCTGTTGCTACATCCAGAAACCAATGACTTTCAAGTGCGTGAATCCTCTCCTCACACACACAAAGACGCTGTATCCTTCTCTGCTCTGTGCTGATCAGAGTCCACCTAGAATACTGAGTTTATTTTGAGCACCAGCTTTAACAAGATATATTGACAACTGGAAGGTGTCCCCAGGAGGGCGAAGGAGTCATGGACGAACAACAAAACTGGGAATATTCAAACTGAAAATGGAAGACTCGGGGGGCCAGGAGCCTCCTCCAGACACCTGACGCGCTGTCGCGGAAGAAGTGGTTGCGGAGGTGAGAGCCGAGACCGATGATGAGCAGTGTAGGCAACATCACCTCCACGTGACCTAGGGGATGACTTTCTGTGCCTTATAGTAACAGTTAAGGGGCTGTCCCAGGAAGAGACGTGTTCAGTACTGGAGGGCTCTACACAGAAGCCATTGGACTACGTAGTTGGACTTTTTGTAGTGGGAATTTGGTTTCTGCACGAAAGTAGGGTGGAATAGGTCATATTTGAGGTTCATTCCAGCCCCCGTAATTATTTGAATCCATGAATGATCATCGTCTTAGAAAAGCATATAATGTTAACTTCCTTCCTCCTTTAGGGAAAAGAAAAGATAACACCATTAGAATTCTAACACATTTATTTTACTCTATTTGAACATAATGAATAAAATGAGGACTTTTAATTTTCAGAGGACCCTATTTGTGATTAAATAAGTTTTTCTTTTAAAGGGGTCAGTCATCTGTCAACCTCAGCACAAAATTTAAAATGACTCGGGGTACATGTTCGAAAACGCAAGTCTGACGTGGAAAATAAGGAAGTTTAAACATAAGCAAACTTGTTTTAACCTTTTCTTTTTTTTTTAAAGAGTTGTAAAACCTTGAGGGGTTCTTGTGCGCCAGGCAGAGGACACGGGGCTGCCCGTGGCGTGACACTGGTGGCCCCACGGAGACGCAGATGGCGAGCCCAGAAGGCGCTTGGTGAAGAGGACCCAGCAAGCGTACAGGCTGTTACAGTGTACACCGCGCGTTCGTGTATTTGGGTCCGAGTTCTGTATTGAGTATCCGATGTTCTTACGAAAAGAACATGCTTTTGGAATTGAGCACATACATGTGGGCATCTTTGGTGGGAAACACACGGCTGGTCTGTTAATTCTGGTGCTTGATGAAAGATGTCTGTATTCTGAAATTTACAAAAACACCAATGACAAGAAGCACCGCCACCCCGAACCGCAGTGTGTCCGCATTCTTGAGCTCCGTTGGCGATGCTGCGGGAAGAGACTCAAGGAGCAGGGAAGCTCAGAAGAGGAAGTCTATGTTCTAGAAATCATCTGTCCGCTTTTCTGCTCGGACAACCATGTGTCTCCAGCCAGCGCCGTGATGTGGGGATAATCGAGTCACTGTCGCGGGAAACACGCAGCTTCCCCGCAGACGTGGTAATGTTCCTGTTTATTTTTCCAGACAAGGCCGTCATGAACCTGTCTTGGCTCAGTCTCACGTTTCAGTCTGATAACGACAAGGTTTGGCCAACAGGCTTTGGTAAACGTCGGCAGAGCGTGGCTGAGCAGCTCGTCCATTCACGGCGCCTTCAGCGGGCTGTGGCTGGACAGTTAGCATCACGCCGGAAAGAGCTCTGCTCAAGGTCACCACCTGCGTCCCTCTTTCTAGCCTGATGGGACAGGTGCCCACTACTGGTCACAAGGGAGGCTGGACGGGAGCGGGTGAAAAAATGGCTCAAGTCACCAGGCTCCTTAACAGGGACTCTGATGATACAGCAAAATAAAGGGCACATCACATGAGCTATGTGACATTCAGAGGGTTAGTAGAGTAACCACAGACCTTCTAGAATGTCCTATAAGGGAGCTAGTGTGTCACTGCTGTGAATTTAACGTTTATGCCAATTGCGTCAACTGTCAGCGTTGACGAACCGACTATTCCAATGGAACGTGTTGTCTCAGCTGCACCCACGGGAATGTGGTGGTTGACAAATGGCCCGGTAGCACGTAGATAGCATTTCCCCAATTATATCGATCTTTGGCAAAAACGAAAATCTGAGTTTCCTGTGAAAGCTACTGTAGGTCATGATGCATAATGAAATGAAATAAAACTTCTACCGTGTGGAGACTGGGCGGAATGGGGAGGAGGTCGAAGGGAGACAGGTGAGCAGAGGAAAAACAGGTCAACTTCGCTTCTGGCCACGTCTTCATCATTAATTCACAGCAGGTGCGCCTGCCTTCTCTGCTCCACAGAAGCCGGTGCCTGAGCCAGCGCCACCCCCTCACCGCCTCCTGCTCCCGTCAGGCCAACCGGGGGGATACTCCGGGGAAACAGGAGGGAGATTTTAGGACGAGCTGCATCCAGTATCTAGAAATAGCACTGAAACGTGCACGTTTGCTCAAGGAATAGACAGATGGAAACTTCTCTGTCCAGCTCGGCCTCCCAGCTGATCATAGGGACCCTTGGCTATTCTGACCTTCTCCGAGCTTTCTCCCATCCAAGCACTAACCAGGCCCGACCCTGCTTAGCTTCCGAGATCAGACGAGATCGGGCGCGTTCAGGGTGGTATGGCCGTAGACTCTCCGAGCTTTCTATCGGAGTTGTTACCCTGTTTGCTCCCCTGCGTCTCAGGGAGAAACACCACAAATTCAGGAAATCCCGAGCACGGGTGTTCATTCCTGTCTGGCCTCAGACTTACTGCGCAACGTTTAACATGTCGATGCCCCGCTGCGTGCCTGTGTCAGCATCTCAACGTGGGATTAGCAAACCCACCTTTAACTTTTCTCCCAGGATGTGGTGAGGCTGAGTAATTTTTCCAGGCTAGTTCACAAGAACAGAACGGAGAGAAAAGTTCTGCGGTAAGGATGGAAACTCTCCCGTGAGCTGGGAGGGGCACCGCAGGTGAGGCCGGTCGGCAGACAGACTGGCCAGTGAGGGGCGGTGCCTCGGGTCTGCCGATTGAGCCGGGAGCTCAGGACCGTTCTGAGTCAAGGGGTCAGAGGCCATGGGACGTCCAAGCTGATGGTGCCTGACACAGTTACCGCCGTGTACCATGGTTGACAGGGTGGGAAGGAGATGGCACTACTGAAGAGGCTCAGCCCCCCTCCCTGAGAGTGCAGACCAGATCCCCGGGGCGAGGCGCTGTCCCGGGGCGGGGGCGGGGCCTCACCCCTGCAGCCTGGGCGCTGACCACGTGTCTTCCCTCTGCCGTCCCCCTGCAGGGCTCTCAGCATGGAGGCTCCTCCACTTCCCTCGCGTCCACCAAAGTCTGCAGCTCGATGGACGAGAACGACGGACCCGGAGAAGGTGGTGAGCTTGGGACTGGGGTCTGAGGAGGCTCAGCTTGGACGGGCAGAGGATAGGCTGGCTCAGTGTCTTCCAGAAGCCGTAGCTTCTCGAGCGGAGTGAGATGAAGCCACTCCTGACGCGGGGATAGGATTGGGCCCGACTCCCACCAGAGTAGCCTCTGCTCTGTGGGCTCGGGGAGAGGAAGTCGGCTAACTTGGAGATGTTTCATAGCCTCTGGGGGTGTAAGTGTCCTAAGGAGGCTCCTGGAAATAAATGGGGGTCATTTCTGCCTTTGTGCTTCCAACCTACGTTCACTGTTGGTCTACCCGGGATGGGTGGATAGCCCTGCAGATGCCCTGACCTACGTGAGCTCAGTATGTGAACGTACAGCTGTACAGAGAGAATGACTGACAGTCGCAAAAGTAGTGTCTGTCCCTCGACCTAACTCACGCGAGAATTTCTCGGTGATGTGGTCACGTGAGCTGGATCCAGAACTGCCCTTTTCACTGCGTCACGGGATGGTTCTCAGGAGGCCTCTTCCTCGCGCCAGGTCTCGGTTCCTGTCCGTGAACTGGACTGAAAACACCCGTCTCCTGCCTGGGTCGGCAGGCTCAAAGCATTGCGGGGAGGTGTTTAGGGAAGTATAAAACGGATACGGTCAAACTGCTGTTAAAAAATCAACTCCCCTTATTTGTTTTATCTTTATTTATTTTTGCTTCGTGTATTTCATTTTATTTATTTTTACTGGGAATGTATCCTGAATCCTGAAACACCAATCAGGAAGAATATATGCACCCCTGTGTTCATAGCAGCACTATTCACAATAGCTAAGATCTGGAAACAGCCTGAGTGCCCATCAGCAGATGAGCAGATAAAAAAGCTGTGGTACATGTACACAATGGAGTACTACGCAGCTGTAAAAAAAAAAAAAGAAAGATCTCTTATCCTTTGAGACACCATGGAGGGACCTGGAGAGTATTATGCTGAGCAAAATAAGGCAGTCAGAGAAAGACAAGTATCACATGATCTCACTTATATGTGGAACATAATGAATAAAATAAACTAATGAACATAATAAATCCACAGACAGGGAAGCAGGGACCAGACTGAGGGATCTCAGAGGAAAGGGGGTGGGGAGACTCACCAAAGAACTGATAGGCATGTATGCATAACAAAGGGACACAGACCACAGTGAGGTGAAGGCCTGGAGTCAGGTGAGAGCCCCCCCTTCCCCCGTGATGGAGGGCAAAGGGAGGAAAATGGGGGACATCTGTCGTACTCTCAACAACAAAAATAAGTTTAAAAGATAAAATACATGAACCCTTATTTGTTTTAAATGAGATCACTTAATTTTCCCAAAAGGTACCTTTGGGGTGTGGGAACACTTTAATTATGTTAAGTGAGCTAACAGATCTCCATTAGAATTATTTCCCAACTACCATGAAATATCAGGCTTTTTTGCAGAAGTGTGAAACTTCTGTTCCAGGTGTTACACGTTCCTGAGATGACAAGGTCCTTGACCAAGCCTTTGCTAAGCCTTCTTAGCCAAAGCATAGCAGATCCAAGTGATCGGTAGGCGGGGACCCCAAGCTTTGTGCTCCAGATGGTGCCTTGGTCACGCTCCCCCTACAGGGAAGGAGGCAGGACGTCTTCGTTTCCCCCAGTGGCCAAGGATGTTTACTTTTACTGTTGCTGCAGTAAAGAGCCTGCCCCCCCACGTCATCTGAGAGGTGTTCCGTAAGTTCGGGTGCTTTGCAGTGGATTTGAAACATCTCCAACCATCTCAGCTAATTCCCGCGGAGCAGATGAAGGAAAAGCAAGCCCGGCTGAGTCTTTCAAACACAGCGACTTGTTGGCTTCTTTGGGGGCGATACCATGGGTGTGGGGGCCTCACTGGCTCCGGCTTTCACGCTGCTCTGGAACCGCTGGGACGCTTCTAGCGGATTCAGGGTAAAAGGCCCCTTACAGAGGGGAAAGGCCGGGAGGTGCCAGCCAGCGTCCTCCGTGTCCAACACGCCCCACAAATCCATCCATAGGCTTCAGTCGGAGCACGTGAGAGCTGGGGTCCGCACAGGGCCCCCCCAGGAGCGGCCTGAGGCTAGCCCAGTGCGCTGGTCTGCTTGGGACCCTGGGCCACTCTGGTGCCCAGCGCAGCCCCTCCAGCCGAGGGGCTCACTGTCTGCACCGCCGCCAGCCGGCCACATTGACACAGTGACAGCACAGGGCAGCCGCGCTCTGGGAGGGAGAACTGGAGGCGTCCTCGGTGGCTCAGAAACCCCCTAATTGGTGCTGCGAGGCCCCTTTGCCCCCTTTTCCGCATTCCTGCGTCCCCAGCAGAGCCTGACCATTGCGGGGTTCCTGCCGAATCCAATGTCCCGTCCCTCTCCTGGGCCCCGCACCTGAAGCCAGGAGCAGCCACCGTGCGGAGTCATGGGGTAGAGCACGTGAGCAGTCCCAGAACCAGAGTGAGGGCCAAAGCACAGCTCTGACGCTCCAGTCCCCGAGCGTCCCAGGCAGTACAGATTCGTCCAGCACAGCCCGTCCAGGACGCGCTGTCGCCACCTGAGGGTTTCATTTCGCTCTGGGAAGAAACGTTTAGTCTCGGTTTGTGGTGGAAGGTCAGCATCACAGCACATTAAGAAAGCACACTCAGCTTGCATCACCTTCCGCGTCCAGGTTGCCCGAGGGCGAGCTGGGATTTATCACTTTAAAACATGCAGATTTTAGAGCCCAGCTATAAAAGGGGTTTCACACCCCGGGACGCTAGAGGTGACGCAGTGTATTGACGGGACCAAAGTGTGGCTCGTTTAGTTTCACGGCCTTAGCTATTTAGAGCAGTATTAGGCATTAGTAAAATACTTCGGAATCCGTCTCAAGGGGGAACACGTTCGTGGCGCTAACATAATCGAAACTGCACGACTGTTCTGTGCACGGACGTAATCAACGTGGCAGTTTTACCTCGACATCTGCGGTGCAGGTTGCTGGGAGAGCTGAGACCTGCTCGTTAGTGGTGCGGGGGGCGGTCAGGGCCGAGTTCGCAGGAACTTCATGGTCTCCACCTCGGGACCCAGTCAAGCTGGGGGTGCACACAGCAGGTTCGCGGCCAGTGGCGGGACATCCGGGGTCCCTTCCCAGCTGCCTTTCCCCCCGAGCCACCCAGAAAGGTCATCTCTCTGCAAACAGCAGGGACGCAGTCAAGGCTATTGATCAAACTGACTTACAATAAAAAGAGTGGGTCTCTTTTTATGTGGGAGTGGGTTTCCTACGTTCCGTTTCCTCTTCGTTTGCCATGGGGACACTTCGGAGCGTGGGCGTCCACAGGGTCGGCAGAAGGGGCGGCCTCGCTGTCCCGAAAATGACATATTGACCGTGAATCCGTTTCGGTCTGTTCGGGGATGCTCCGAGACGCCTCTGTTGTGCACCCTCCGTGCGCGTCTTCTGCCAGTAAAAGCGTGCTCATGTTCTTGCAGAAGTGTCCGAGGAAGGCTTCCAGATTCCCGCCACAATCACAGAGCGGTACAAGGTCGGAAGGACGATAGGAGACGGGAACTTCGCCGTGGTCAAGGAGTGTGTGGAGAGGTGAGGAGGCGGCCGCGCCGACTTGAAAGGGGCCGTTTGGCACTGTGTTTCCGAGATGGTGTCTCTATTTGCCGTCTGGGGCACACATGGAACCGGTTAAGGCCTCCGCTCCGGATGGAAAGAGAGTTTAAAAGACAGAAAAGCCCGTCTAGCAACAGATTTGAAAAATGTAGTGATTGCTGGAGATAATCTATAAATTAGGGACTTTGATTTTTCTTTTTAATGTACTCAGCAAAGCGTTCCCAGGTTTTTCAGGTAAGTCCGTGCATTTTGTTAAAGAATATGTGTACATGTACTGAGTAGTTTCTTCGATACTTTAAAAACATTTTTTTTTTCTTATATGGATTTTAGAGAGAGAGAAAGGGAGAGACAGAGAAACATGGATGAGAGAGGACATTGATTGGCCGCCTCCTGCATGCCCCCCACTGGGGATCGGGCCCACAACCTGGGCATGTGTCCTGACCGGGAATCGAACTGGGGACCTCCTGGTGCAGGGTCGATGCTCAACCATTGAGCCACACCGGTGGGGCTACACTTTTATTTTTAATCATCACCTGAGGATATTTTAATGATTTTTTAGAGAGGAAAGGTTAGGACTCGAACCCACAACCTTTTGGTGTACAGGATGACACTCTAATCAACTGAGCCACCTGGCCAGGGCTGCACATTTTTTGAGACTTTTTAAAAAGGTTCTTGTATATATATATTCATAAAGTTAAATATAATAACCTTGAAAAGCTGTGACATGCGTATGTACTGACCCCAGCAGAAATGCTCTTCATTGCACTGAAATGTCCCATAAAGAACGGGCCAGGTACTCGTGTGAGCCAGAGGGAGGGGTTCAGGGTGAACGATTTCCCCGTGGGGTGTCCACACCTAACCGAGGGCAGTAGCTGGTAGCCACTCTGTGGAGAAGCGACAACCAATAGAGCCACAGCCCCGACGAGGGCGACCGCAAGCCCTCCGCTCGGTGTTAGACTGGAGTTTGCTTCCCAAGTGGTCGCGGACTTGGGCCGGCAGCCTCTCCTCTGAGCTGGGTGAGCAGAGGGTTGAAAAGTCGGGGGGACCTGCCCGGTTCCTAGGGGGGCCTGGTGTCCTGGCTTCCTGGGGGCCGGCCTGGGCGTGCAGGCTCCCCTGCTGCCGTCTCTGGCCGTGGGCTGGAATGCTTCCTCAGCACTGAGAACAATGTCCTCCATGCCACGTCCCTCTCGGTGAGAACCCTTGACTGGACGCTGCAGCTGACAGGAGCCAGAACTCGACTTCTTCCCAAGGCTTTGACTCTGAGCACGTGAGAGCTGGGGTCCGCACAGGGCCCCCCCCAGGAGCGGCCTGAGGCTGGCCCAGTGCGCTGGTCTGCTCGGGCCGCTGGGCCACTCTGTGAAGGTGTCCCGCGGAGCCCCTCCAGCCGAGGGGCACACTGTCTGCACCACCGCCGCCAGCCGGCCACGTTGACACAGTGACAGCGCAGGGCAGCCGCGCTCTGGGAGGGAGGACTGGAGGCGTCCTCGGTGGCTCAGAACCCCCTAGTTGGTGCTGCGAGGCCCCTTTGCCCCCTTTTCCTCGTTCCCGCATCCCCAGCAGAGCCTGACCATTGCGGGGTTCCTGCCGAAGCCAGACAATGTCCCGTCCCTCTGTGGGCCCCGCACCGAAGCCAGGAGCAGCCACCGTGCACTGATCAACACTGTGCAAGGCCCTTAACTTAGGACGTTCCATTTAATTATCATCATAATTTCATAACATCAGTCTCGTTTGCATCTCATACAAAGAAAGCCTGGAGACGTGAAATGCCCAGGGTCACTCCTCTTGTACGTACGTAGCAAGGCGTCGATCTGAGCCCGGCTGCAAGCCCACACTGCTGACCCCTCTCCCCCATGCTTCCCACGGGGAATCTCCCCCGAGGGCATGGCCTAGCTGAGCCACAGTCACGCGCCGCGTGCGTCCTGTGCGGAAAGACGGAAATTGAATCTGGCAAGCCCTTCCTAAGGTAACGGGTGGAAGCGTGTACTTATATAATTTCATATTTCATGTCTACTTTTACTGACTGTAAAACTTTTACGTCCACTGTAGCAGAAACCTTATTGGTAGCAGATTGCCATCCCGGCAGCGGCGGGGTGTCTGGGGTCCTGCCAGCGCCCACGGTCTGCGGAGGCCGGCGTGGTGGCCCGCGCTGTGTCCCCGCTGGTGCCTGGGTCAGGAGGGCGTCCTAGCCCAACAGAGCTGGTCTCCCCAGAGCAGAAGTGTCTCCCTTTTCCATTCAGAATGAGTCTCTCTCTCTAGGGTGGGTTGTTACTTTGCGTGAGCTGTTATGTTGGATCTCACTGCACGAACCTTCCGTCTGCACAGCAGCGCGCCAGGGTTCGGGTTCCTGCCGCGCCGAGAGCGGACACGTGGCCTGTGCCCCGTGTCCCCGGAGGTGCCCCGAAACATTCGACGTTTCCCAGAGGCCCAGGAGGACGAGAGCGAGCTGGGAACGTGGGGACGGCACGGCTGCATGCGGGAACGTGTTTGGAGGGGTGACACTGTGTGAGGAGAGCCAGTGGGCCCTGCTCTGCTGACGCTGAGGGGATTTTCCCACCGCAGAGCCATGTCAGGGTCTCAGGCCCACAGCCTCCTGCCTGCCGGGGCCTCCGAGCCCGGACGTGCCAGGTCCCGGACTGCGGCCTGAGCCCTGCTCTGTCCAGGGCCGGTCCCTGAAGCACGTCGGGCCCAGCACGGTCGAAGCGGAGGTCCGAGGCGGCAGAGGCTGGAGGCAGGTGCCTGGCCGCCGGCCTCCGCCCCACGTGGACGCCCCCGCCAGCCAAGGGGCGAGTGCACAGTCGGAGCAGGGACGTGTCTCGGGGTCCTGGGCTGCCCGCACCCCTGCACCGCACTGCACCCGCTTTGGTGATGTAGCCCGGAGGCGTGCTAACCCCCTTCAGTGTGCGTCCAGCAACCGCACAGGACTCCACCCGCTCCAGGTGAGTGGGGCGGGTCCGCGGGGACCAAGTGCCCCACAGGAGTTGCTCTCCCGGGAAACCCTCAGGGTTTCGGAGAATTATACACTCGCAGTGCGAGGGCACTTCCTGCTGAAGCGGGGTGTGCTGGACGGGGGGTGTGCTGGGACGGGGGGTGTGCTGGGACAGGGGGTGTGCTGGGACAAGGGGTGTTGTGGGAAAGTGGAGTGTGCTGGGAAAGGAGGGTGTGCTGGGGTGGGGGGTGTGCTGGGACGGGGGGTGTGCTGGGATGGGGGGTGTGCTGGGAAAGGAGGGTGTGCTGGGGCGGGGGGTGTGCTGGGGCGGGGGGTGTGCTGGGAAAGGGGGGTGTGCTGGACGGGGGGTGTGCTTGGATCGGGGTGTGCTGGGGTGGGGGGTGTGCTGGGACGGGGTGTGCTGGGACGGGGGGTGTGCTGGGAAAGGAGGGTGTGCTGGGACGGGGGCTGTGCTGGGACGGGGGCTGTGCTGGGAAAGTGGGGTGTGCTGGGAAAGTGGGGTGTGCTGGGAAAGTGGGGTGTGCTGGGACAGGGTGTGCTGGGAAAGTGGGGTGTGCTGGGAAAGGGGGGTGTGCTGGGACGGGGGGTTTGCTGGGACGGGGGTGAAGAAGGCTAGTATCGCCCCACTGACCGTGCCCTCCCTCCTTCCCTTCCTGGGGCTCCCCACACCTATGTTTCCACCCAATAACACTGCAGCCCTGGCGGTGTTGCTCAGCGGTTAGAGCATCAGACCAGAGGGTCACAGGTTCAATTCCCAGTCAAGGGCACGTACCTGGGTTGCAAGTTCGAGCCTGGGCCCTGTCGGGGTTGTGCAGGAGGCAACCAATCGATGTGTCCCTCTCCCATCGATGTTTCTCTCTCCCTCCCTCCCTCCGTTCCACTCTAAACGGATGGAATATCCTTGGGTGAGGATTAACAGCAAACAAGTGAAAGTCCACCAGGGACGTTAGGTCTGGCCACAGGTCTCCGGCTCGGCCGCTCCCCCTGGGGAGGAGGCTGAACCAGCCTAAGGATGATGAGTGCGAAGCCGAGGCTGCTGTGGGCTGAGCTCCTTGCTGAGCAGTCTTCCCGTTCTGTCCTCCCGCCGCCATCCTCTGGCGTTTCCACCACTCGATGAACATGTCCGGAGCTCCCGCTAGTGCAGGCCGGTGCTGGGCACTTCTGGGCCCAGGCAGCCAAGCCAGCCCGGTCCGGGAGAACCTGCCGAGAAGCAGGCTTGCCGTGAGCGCCGGTCAGCGCTGTGGCAGGAGAAGGATGGAGAAGCTGTTCCTCCTGTCCCACACAGTGTTTTCCAAAACGTTCGAAGCACAGCAGACAGCGGAGAGCACCTGCGCCCGGGACGGCCCAGCCTTGCCGGCGTGTCCAGCCCCTCGGCGTGCCTCTTTCTCCCAGCCGCTCTGAGCACAGACATGTCACGTTAGGTTGAGTTCAACTCTGTAAAATTTAGAAATGTCTTTCCAGTAGTTCAGGCTCTAACCTTGGTTCCAACGAAACGGGAAGGGGGCCGTACAGATGGAGTTTCCCAGACCAGGAGGGAGGGGTGGGTGCTGGGGCTGCAGGGTCCCTAAGTCATTTCAGGAGCAGGCTAGTCCGTGCCCTGCGTGCTCCCCGGCAGCCCTGCTGTCTGGTGTTTGTCTCAAAATGCAAACACAGAGCCTTGGGCAGGCGGGCAGGCGCCCTGGCCTCTGTAGCCACCAAAGCACCGTGCCTGGAACTGCGTGCTGAGTGAGGACGCAGGCCCGACCTCGAGACCGGGTATGTGGGAAGGCAGGTATTTTATGTAACGTTTTATTTCTTGGCAAGTGTTTTCACTTACTAACTTAAAGCGAGCCGTTACATTTTTATTCTCTGGTATGCATTTAGCTCCGACACCTGCTTTGAGGCTCATTTTGAGTCTCGGCTTCTCTCTACACGTGTGCTTTCGGTAATAGGGATTTTATTATGACTTTATAGTTCTGCCCTCCGGACATCCAGAAAGAAAATGTGCCGCGTTAATGTTAGTGGTCTGTGGGCTCATTGTCTGATGTGAAAGAGGAGTAAATCTATCTGAGTGTTTAATCCTATTGTGTAGATTCTGTGGAGTGAACCCATAAGCCCCAGGACCCCTGAGGCTCGCCCGCATTTCCCACACAGGGCAGGCTCGGGCCAGAACCGGGGTGCTCGGGGTCCGGGGAGCCAGCTCGGCAGCTCCTCCCAGCATCTCGCGGCTGTGTGTCTGGCTGTGGCGGCATCGTCTTCCCAGAACCACACAGCCCTTTGCCGTGAGTACGCGAATGTTACTCGTCCCGGGGAGTGGAGAGGGGCCCACTCGGGGACATCCCGTCCTCAGCAGCCCTGCCCTGTCCGTCCCTGTGCTCTGTGGTGCCGCCTCGGGCCCTCCAGGGACGGCCGGCTTCTATCAGCGCCGTCAGTCCGACAGTCCAGACTTGCTTGCCATTGAGGGAAACATTTTTCCCCCTTTTAATGTGTTTTTATTGATTTTTTTCCTCACCTGAGGACATTTTTCCATTTTTTGTTCAGGTAGAGTGGGAGGGGGAGAGAGGAAGAGAGAGAGAAACATCGATGTGAAAGGGACACATCGAGTGGCTGCCACCCGCACGACCAACCAGGGCCGGGGACAAACTGCAACCGAGGTACATGCCCTTAGCAGGAACCGAACCCGGGTCTCTTGGGACCGCAGGCCGACGCTCTAACCGCTGAGCCAAACCGGCCAGGGCTATTGATTTTTTTTTTAGAGAGAGAGGAAAGGAGAGAGATAGGAACATCGATGTGAAAGAGAAATACCCATCAGCTGCCTCCTGCACTCCCCCTACTGGGGACCGAGCCCACAACCCCGGCAGGTGCCCTGACCGGGAATCGAACTGGGACCTCTGCGTCCATGGGACGTCGCTCACCCACTGCGCCACACTGGCCGGCTCAGGTGAAACCTTCTAAACCAGATAGGACATCGTTCGTGTATTCTAACCTCAGATTTGCGTGTCTGAATTTTTTAGTGATTCGTGAAGAGCAGAACCCAGAGTCCTTAAGCGTCATTTTCCTCGATTACATGTTCCTACCTGTGCAGAGTCCTCAGAAGCACCACCGGAGGAGGCTCCCAGAGAGCCCGTGGCTCCCCGGTGACGTGAAGGATCCCTTTGAAGGGGGTCGTGTCACTGTCTCCTTTCCTGTCGCCCGCACAGTTTACATTCTGAGGAGAGGTCTCTCCTTCCCCTCCACTGAGGTGCTCCCCACCCCTACGCCATGGCCTTGCTGGCGGCCTGGTGTTCGTGTGGGTGCTGAGCCCCAAGCCCGGCCGTTAGCCCCGGCCAGCTCCCGCTTCCTCCATCAGGGCCTCTCTGCCCAGCAGGGACCTGGAGAACCAACAGAGACGGAATCAGCAATATCCTTGGGCCTCTCAGTCCATTTCTACCTGAGGCTGCAGCAGGGGGTTTCCTCTGATGCCCCACATCTCTGCAGGGGCCCTGAGGCCCCCACATCTCTGCAGGGGGCCCTGAGGTTCCCACATCTCTGCAGGGGGCCCTGAGGTTCCCACATCTCTGCAGGGGGCCCTGAGGTTCCCACATCTCCGCAGGAGGCCCTGAGGTTCCCACATCTCCGCAAGGGGCCCTGAGGCCCCCACATCTCTGCAGGGGGCCCTGAGGCTCCCACATCTCTGCAGGAGCCCCTGAGGTTCCCACATCTCTGCAGGGGGCTCTGAGGTTCCCACATCTCTGCAGGGGGCCCTGAGGTTCCCACATCTCTGCAGGGGGCCCTGAGGCCCCCACATCTCTGCAGGGGGCCCTGAGGCCCCCACATCTCTACAGGGGGCCCTGAGGCCCCCACATCTCTGCAGGGGGCCCTGAGGTTCCCACATCTCTGCAGGAGGCCCTGAGGCCCCCACATCTCTGCAGGGGGCCCTGAGGTTCCCACATCTCTGCAGGGGGCCCTGAGGCCCCCACATCTCTGCAGGGGGCCCTGAGGTTCCCACATCTCTGCAGGGGGCCCTGAGGCCCCCACATCTCTGCAGGGGGCCCTGAGGTTCCCACATCTCTGCAGGGGGCCCTGAGGCCCCCACATCTCTGCAGGGGGCCCTGAGGTTCCCACATCTCTGCAGGGGGCTCTGAGGTTCCCACATCTCTGCAGGAGCCCCTGAGGCCCCCACATCTCTACAGGGGGCCCTGAGGTTTGGGTTGCCTTCTCCCATCTGATCCGAAAGGCCCTCTAGTGGAGAAAACCGGCTTCCAAGGGCTGACTCTGTCTGTTCATTCACCAGATGCTGTCTGCTCCATGTGATGTTCGCTGTCTTCTGTGAGCTCCTCACGCAGGGCCTGGGGGTGGGGTGGGAGAAGCACTTCTGGGAGCCGGGGTCGGGACTGGTCCCTAAAATGCCGTTGCTGTGGAGAGCCAGTCACTGTCTCCAACCAGAAAACAGGGAGACCCCTGCTGCTTTCCTGTCAGGATTTTCAAGCCCCGGCTTAACATCCAGTCCTTTCTGGCCTCGCCCCCTGTGCTCACTGGGCTCCCTACAGCGGTTTCCTCTGGAGGGAAAAGGCTGGGCTGCCCTGTGCCAGCGAAACGGAAGGCATCGCCTGTGCAGCCGCAGGTTGTTGCGGGTCGTCACGTCTGCACTGTGTCCTTGGGCAGCAAACACGTGGTGCGAGCACGGCAGCCACACGCACGTGCACAATGTCGGAGCGGCTCCGAGGCAGCGGCGTGGCCGGCCCTCCCTGCACACCCACGCGGCAGGGCAGGGCGCCGGCCTCTGCGTGCAGCCGGAGCCCGGGAGGCTGGAGCCTGCCGTCCACGCTGCCTGCGGCTTCGGGAAAGGGAGTGGATTTTCATTGTCACCTCCCCTTGTTTCTGGGCAACGAGGCATGAAAGGCCCAGGAGAGCTCAGAGGACAGCGGCTCCCTTGCTGCACCGAGAGCACGTCCCGTGAGGTCTCCAGCAAACCCCGCGGGCTTGCACCCTGAACCCACGTCTGAGGAGTGACCTGCTCCTGGAGGGTTTTCAGTGTGACCGAAACATTCAGAAACGGCGCAGCCCCGCGTCGTGGGGGGAGCTGTAAGGACCTGTAACGAGGAGGGGGGACCACATCTGGTTTGCGTCCCAGTCGCTCCACCTCCCAGGGCGGGGAGCAAGTGGCCAGCGGAGTCCCAGGCTCGGCGCAGGCAGGGCGCGGTCTGTGCCGGCCCCTGGTCTGCGCTGGCTCTGTCCCTGGAGGGCTCAGCATCTCTTCGTAAAAGGAAAGGAGAGTCATCAACGAAATAGTTACACCATGATGCAAGGTCTGTGGGATGCGATATAAATCCTTAACAAGAAAATCGAATATATCTGAAATTAAGTTTTTCTTTTCTCTTCGCAGGTCAACTGCTAGAGAGTATGCTCTGAAAATTATCAAGAAAAGCAAATGTCGCGGCAAAGTATGTACAAAGTCTATTCTTATGAACATACAGGTATTCGGGGGGGAGAAAGAAACACAGATTAGCTCCCCAGTAAACATAAATTCACCCCAGTTGTTGCATTTCGGTGGAATAGAAAGTTATATCCTAATGAGATTATAACTTTCTTTTATAAATAGTCCTGGAATAAAAATGAGCTAGAATGGTATTTTTGTGTCTTATCTTTATTGGCTTGTTTACTTCCACTATTGGATATTGGAGATATAGATATAGATATATATAGATATATAGATATATAGATATAGATATAGATATAGATATATATTCCCTCCTTCGACAGGAATTTATAGCTGTCGTAATGGGTTCTGAAACTATAAGCATCATCTAAGGACCGTCGATATCTTTTGACAGTTCTAGGCTACCTGACTATCAGAATCAAAGATATGCTCATTCTGTTCTGCCAAAATACATGCCCTTGAACTTCTCATAGTATAACTGAACTCACGCCGAGTGAGCTGCTCCTGTGTTGGGGGTGTTGACCAGGTCCCTTCTCCCTCGGACAGGAGCACATGGTCCAGAGCGAGGTGTCTATTCTAAGAAGAGTGAAGCACCCCAACATTGTTCTCCTGATTGAAGAAATGGACGTGCCAACCGAGCTGTACCTTGTCATGGAATTGGTAAAGGTGAGTACTTCGGAAGAAGTAAGCTCTTCTCTGAACACGGGACTTTATTTTATCCCACAGGACTCAGCCTCTCGTGTCTATACCGGGCAGCATGGTTAGGAGTGTGAATGTCAGAATAATACCACGAGAGTTCAAGTGCCAGCCTTGACGTGCACGGCTCCCTGGCCTTGGGACCCCTCTCTGTGCCCCGGTTCCCTGGGTGTGAAGCGGTGGGGTGCTTTACCCCGTGGTGTCCTGGGTGTGAGGACAAGAGGAATGGCTTCCACCGGTTTGCGTGACACACAGCAGTCGACGCCAGTGTGATCGCTGCTGCTGCCGTCGTCGTCGTCGTACGACTTGCTCCCTTTTCCGTGAACCACATCCGAAGGTGTCACCATTCCCATGGAGCCCAGCGCCACGCTCTCAGTCACCAGTGTCACGGGAAAATAGCACAGTGCTAGCAGTAATGTGCGTGGTCGACCAGCTGTCCACGAGTGTCGCCATCTCAGCCAGCCACGTGAAATTACGTTCTTCTCTTAAATCGTTGACTGTAGGAACGGCTAAGTGCTGATAATGATTGCATTTGAGTGAAAGATGAGTTGCCTGTTCCCTCTCCTTCCATGTTTGAAACGTTCAGTAGCGAGAAGGGTTAAAACGCCGAGTGCCTAGTTTTCATGAAGTTACGTTTCTCTCAAGCCCTTGGTGCAGTGTCGCCCTAACGGGGGTGCGCGGAACCCCCACGCGGGTGGTGACGCGCCCTGACTTAGCGCCCCCTGCTGGTCAGTGGTGTGTGCAGTCTGAGCGCCTGGAGCCGCCCTGAGCTGGGGGTCAGCACTGTGGGGCAGCGTCGGCTGTTCTTCTGTAAAGACTAAACACGATGAAAGCATTTCTTTCTTTATTTACTATTTTTTTTTTTTTTAAACCTCCCCTGAGGATTTTTTTTTTTCCATTGATTTTCAGATACAGTGGGTGGGGGGGAGAAAGAGAGAGAGAGCCCTGGCTGGTTTGGCTCAGCGGTTAGAGCGTCGGCCTGCGGTCCGGAGAGACCTGGGTTCGGTTCCCGCTAAGAGCACGTACTTCAGTTGCAGTTTGTCCCCGGCCCTGGTTGGTCGTGCGGGTGGCAGCCACTCGATGTGTCTCTTTCACGTCGATGTTTAAATGGAATAATGTCCTCAAGTGAGGATAAAAAAAGAAGAAGAGAGAGAGAGAGAGAAACATTGATGTGAGAGAGACACATCGACTGGCCGCCTCCAGCACAACCCGACCAGGACCGGGGATGAACTGCAACCGAAGTACATGTCCTTGATCGGAATCGAACCTGAAACTCTTTGGTCCTTGGGCCGACGCTCTAAGCGCTGAGCCAAACCAACCAGGGCAACAATGAAAGCATTTAATAATAAACTAACCCACTGCTGTATAAGAAAATGTTCGTTCTAGGACCTTTAAATCTTCGTTATTCAAAGTTGCTTTACTTTAGATCTGCAGGTATTTTTTCAGCTTACTGGTTATTTATATTTATGGACGGAGCCTGTTTTTTCTACTTCGGGTTGGGACTGTTTCTTTCGGAGAGCTGAGGGCTCCCTGTGGTAACACGAGCTTATTGTTACATTCGAAGCTGTGGCAGATACAGATGTTAAACGGTTATTCCAACAACGAAGGTTGATTTCATTTAGTCAGAAGATGTTTGTATTGGCCCTGTATTGCCAGGTGAAGTTTGGTGATTCCCAACATTTAAATTATACTTTCTCCAGTACCAAGGATAGTGTTTTATAATGGTGTTCATTTAGAGATCCAAAACTTCAGACCATTCCTGTGGCCCCTCTGTGTGCTGCTAAAAATGATTAGCTCGCCCTGGCCAGTTTGGCTCAGTGGTTAGAGTGTCGGCCAGCAGACCAATGAGTCGTGGGTTCGATTCTGGTCAAGAGCATGTGCCTCGGTTGCGGTTTGGCCCTGGTCGGGTTGTGCTGGAGGAAATTAGTCGATGTGGCTCTATCACATCGATGTTTCTCTCTCTCTCTCTCTCCCTCCCTCCCTCCCTCCCACTCTATCTGGTAATAGGTAGAAAAATATACTCGGGTGAGAAATTTAAAAAAAAAAAATGATTAGCTCCCGTTGCCGAGAGTTTTAGAAGCTAAGACAGTTACATTTAAGGATGAGAAATGAAAGGGGCAGAGGCTCAAGGGCTCAGAAGACATTTTGTGGGGAAGCGTCTGTCAGTCACATGCTCATTGTCATGCTGCAGCCAAGTGCAGTGAGGGGGTCCTCGTGTCCTTGGCGGGCTGAGCTTTTTCCGCGTGACCACGATGGCCCGAGAGGACCAGAGCGCATCTGCAGAGCCACTGGGTCGTAGTCTGAAATGCAGCCCGACCCAGGACTTCTGAGGGCCAGGTCTGGGAGTGAAGGCCAGTGCCAGGCTTGGCCGAAAGGTTCCCATACCGTCCCCCCGAGAAACTTTGCGGGGGCCATGCTTCTCCAACCAAGCGTCCAGGGTGTGCGGGGTGTCTGCGGGCACAGGAAAGCAAGGCCGTGCGGCAGACATCCGTCAAACGACAGGAATTCAAGTCAAATTCAGCCCAGGCCTGTGTGGCTCAGTCGGTTGTCCGTACACCGAAGGTCGTGGGCCCCTTTCCCGGTCAGGGCACGTGCCTGGCTTGTGGGTTCGATCCCCAGTCGGGCTTCTCTCACACCCGATGTCTCTCTCTCTTCCTCTTCCTTCCTCTCTCTCGAAAACCAATAAAAAGGCTTATCCTTGGGTGAGGATTAACAAAAAGATTGAAACAAGTCAAATTCCCTGATTATTAGGAGCAGGACTTGGGACCGTTGCCCGGAGCGGGGTGCATGGAGGGAGGCAGGCCCCGTGGGGAGGTGCCTGTGGCCAGGCCCCAAGAGCGCAGTCGGAGTGAGGACTAGAGGCCTGCAGGGACATTCTGGGAAGGGAGCTCTGAGGAGGACAGGCAGGAGGGCAGCGTGGCCTGGGCCTGTGTCCCCGACCCAGGACCCTGAAGGCCGAGGCAGGAAATGAGACCTGACACGTTGCAGGGAAGGTGGGGGCAGAATGCAGAGAGCCATGGGCAAGGAATGCGGATCCCTTGAAAGGGAAAGAAAGTCCATGCCCCCCGCCCTGCGAAAAGTGACTCAGTGCCCTGGAGTCTTTGGGGACGGAGCCCGCAGGGGCCGTGCAGGCTGTCAGAACACAGCAACACCCGGGGATGAAGCCACAGGAGGCGTCACTCGGAGGTGGAATAGGAAGGCCCCGGGGATGGGAGCCGAGCACACGTCGAGGGACGGGTGGGCTGGCTGTGTTGAGGATGAAGAGGAAATGGGATGACAGGGAGCCCAGGTCCTTAGGGAAAGGCTGGAGTCTTTGTGGGCCCCACGCATGTAGGGTGCTATCCACATAGACCACAGACGCAGTGGGCGTCCCGCCTCCTGGAGGGGCGTGGAACCACCTGCACCCCCACTTCGAGCAGCCTCGCCATTGAGAGAAACAGGACATGCAGGGAGGAAGTGTTCCTTCTGAACAAAAAGGGATGAGTTTCAACACTTTGGGGACTTCTGAGGCTGAACGGACAGCGAGAGCCTCGGGCAGAGGTTGCAGGGAGACCACAGGAGGCCAGGTCGCACAGAGCTCTGGACACTGTGGCCTGTGAGTGCATTTTCTGCTTGTGTTATTTGAAAAGAGACGTGAAGTCCCGACCCTCCCAGGTAACAGGTGGACACACCTGGCTGCTCTGCCCGGCGGCTTGGCGCACCGCATGACGCAGGCCGGATGCAGACAGTGCGTGAGTGAGACCCGTTTCCGACCCAGGGCTCATACATGGAACTGAAATCGGAGCCTAAAATTATTCTGTTTCACCAAATAACAACACATCAGCTGGGGGCAAGGGAAACAAGAGGTCAGGTGAACTAAGGCCTTGGAAAACCTCCTTTGACATTTCTCTCCCTCCCCCCTCTCTCTCTCTCATCTTTGAAACTACAGTGTCTGGTTCGCTCCTGTTTCTTACAAAGAAGCACACTGTCCAGAAAGAAAACACTACGCCTACCCCAAGAAGCTAGATCTGGAGGGTGATGTGAACGCTGTGTGTTGGTGTGAGTGTGTGCGAGTGCGTGTGAGTGTATGTGAAAGTGTGTGAGTGTGAAAGTGCGTGTGCGTGTGTGTGAGTGCGTGCGTGTGTGTGAGTGCAAGTGCGTGTGTGTGCGTGTGAGCGCGTGTGAGCGCCTGTGTGCGAGTACGTGTGAGCGTGTGAGTGTGCTTGAGTGTGCGTGTGAGTGTGTGTGTGTTAGTGCGTGCGTGTGTGTGAGGGCGAGTGAGTGCGTGTGAGCATGTGTGAGTGTGTGTGAGCGCGTGTGTGCGTGAGTGTGCGAGTGCGTGTGAGTGTGCGTGAGTGAGTGTGTGTGCGTGCGTGCGTGTGTGAGTGTGAGTGTGTGGGCGAGTGCGAGTGTGTGAGTGCGTGTGAGCGCGTGTGAGTGCGCATGTGCAAGAGTGTGCATGTGTGTGTGAGTGTGTGTGTGTGTGTGTGTGTGAGTGTGTGAATTTCACCAGGCAGGAGGGTGCAGTCCGCAGCACTACCTCTTCTCTTTCGGGACGTCAGGATTCTGAATTTGAACTTCTGCGGGCAGTTGGTGTGAGGCGTGTACACAGGGCACCCGGTGTCACACGGCCTCTGCCCTGGAGACATGCTGGCCCCTCCCTGCTGGCGGGCTGGGCAAAGGCTGAGTCTGTTGGCCAGAGTCCTCGCTGGCCCTTCCCCTCTGGAGGAGGCGGACTCAGCGGAGAGAGATCCCCACGAGGTCCTGGGAGGGCAGTGCCGGAGGAGCCTGGAACCCAGGGCCTGCTGGTAGCCCGGGCCCGACGGCGCCAGTCGCTCCTCAGGGCAGCCCCGCTGCTGGCCACCTGCTAACCGCCGCTGCACCTGCGCTCTGTTCTCAGGGCGGAGACCTCTTCGACGCCATCACGTCCACAAACAAGTACACGGAGCGCGACGCCAGCGGGATGCTGTACAACCTGGCCAGCGCCATCAAATACCTGCACAGCCTGAACATCGTCCACCGCGACATCAAGCCCGAGAACCTGCTGGTAAGAGAGGTGCGGTCCGGGCGTCTGGTTCCGGCAAGCGCAAAGAATACGAGCACGTCTCCTGGTTTCTCTTCTGTTTTCTTACAGAACAAAAAAATACCCTGAAGGCTAGTTTCCCCCTGGCCTTCAGTAACTATTGGAAAGTCGTCTTCTTTGTTCTAGAACAATCACCGCGCAGTTAGGACACTCACCCCATTCACACAGGAACTCCCGAGGAGGGTGGGGATGGAACTCGGGGTCTGGGGCGCTGGCGGGGGGTCCCGATGGGCATGAGGAGCATTCACAAGGATCTGATGTCTCTGTAGCGCTTTATGTTAAGAAGTCGTACTGGAAAGACAGGGACCCTTTCTGAGTTTCTGAGTCTCCCAAATCTACGTCCCAGTAATGCCGGGTGGGCAAAAGTAGCTTCGCCCTGTCCGTAGGGAAAATGGCACAATAATGAACGAATAATACAAGGACGAACCCCGGGCTTCACAGACGAACCTGGAGGCCTGCTTTTGCGGACCCCGGTGTGGTCTGACAGCTAAGAGAATGAACCACACTGAGTGTTTAAAGACACCACCCCTCAGCAGGAAAGTCCTGACGAAGACTGACTAAAGGCCAGAGACGTGTAACCCCTTCCAGCTGTTCGGTTTGCCTTTTGTGGACGCTCCCCCCCCCCATCTTTGGGAAGACACCTGAGCGTTTCCGGGGTCTGTGCTAGGGACAGTCCTGGAAAGGACCGAGGGGACAAACGAGTCCTGGAGGGCGGTCCCTGGTGAAAACGGGGGAACAAACTCTGCTGGCTCCTCAGGCTGGAATTTTCGTGAATTGATTGCCCCCCTTCCCAGATGGTAGTTCCTTCTTCGCTTCCGTTTTTCAACCCCGAGAGTTTAGTCTTATATGCGACTATTAGCTTGTCCATCTTCGGGAATCTGGGAAGTGGGGACTCTCTTCCTAAAACAGTGTTTCTCCAAGGGTGGTCTGAAGACCCCTCATCAGAATTGCTCCCAGATGCCTGCTAGGAACGCGTTTCCGAGCCTCCCGCAGCCCTCCCGAGTGGCATCGGGTGCCTGGTGACAGTGCGCGGCGCGGGCCCCCGCGCGACGCGGATCCACGCGGTTAGGAGCGATGAGCAGCCCGTCGCTTGCTACACAGGGAGGCTGATCATCTCCTGTGACAGAATCACGTGTGTGCGCATCGTGTGCTGAGGGCGTTAGACTCGTCATTCCACTGAATTCTCACGGCAACCAGATGGGGTAAATTCTATAGCCGCCCCATTTCACAGGTAAGGAGACTGAGTCCTAGGAGTTATAGACCTGCCCAAGCCCATAACAACTCAGCTGGAGAGCCAGGATCTCAGCGTAGCTCTGCCCACTCCACGGCCAAGCTTCACCCACCGGACCCACCAAGCCGGGAACAGAGAGCGTGTATGGCGTGCTGTGGGCGAGGTTCGTGCCAGGGAAGACAGACAGACGCCTTCCTGGAGGTGACAGCCAAGTAGGAAAAATAGGCATTCAAGAAATAAACACACACGCAATTAGTTGATTGCAGTTATAGTAGCAGTCTTGCAGCCGCTGGCTAATCAAGGCAGCCAGGTCAAGTGAGGGAGCGCGGACTAATTGCCCGCAGATCCCTCGTGGCGTCTGGGCCTTGGTGGGGGCGCCCTCCGCCCATCTGCGTCCATTATTCCTGAATTACGCAGGACGGTCTCCAGGGACCCGGCTTACAACTGGGCCTTTGTTTAAAAAAGTCAGTGACTGAAAATTAAAGTTTCAGCTCCCTCCCCCTCTGCAGGTCGGTTCTGCTTCTCACCAGGGCCCCCTGTCTCTGCGACGCCCAGAGTGGTTACTAGCGGTGCCTGTCCCTGAACCACGGGCACAGGGTGCCTGCGCCTCGTGCTTCCTCCAACGTTCTAGGTTACTCAGAACCGGCCTCCCTCTTCTTTTCAGTGTGAGAATGTGAAACACATACGTACACACACACACACACACACGCACACGCGCGTGCGGCTGCAGTCATTCACCACTAGGTTATTTATATATGTATGAGAAACTAGAGTAATTCTGCTTCTACAGGATAGTAATTTTTTCCGAAAGGACCGTGTTAAGGGTTGCTGAGGTTTGCAGTGATAAATCTCTTACGGGATAAAACAAGTAGAAGAATAGACTCAGTTTAACAAAATTAGGATGGCATCGCTGATTGCGCTTGAGACTGTTACCTTGACCTTCTGTTGACCTTTCCGTGGGAGAGGTCACGGGAGGTCAGGACCACAGGCTCCACTCTTGCTCTGGCTCTGACCGGTTACTTCCCCCCTGTGAACGTCCTTTAAGGGGGGTTTCTGAAGATCAAGAGGTAACACGTAACTACGAGTTCCCTTTCTTTTTATCCCCCTTCTATTTGTAATAAAAATTGAATTATCCTGAAGAAGAAAACTTTAACAACAACAAAACTGTATACTATAAAAGTTACCTTTTATCTTTTTTGATATTGTTTTTAAATTTTTACTATTTACCACACGTGGAATTGCTATATCATGGCAAAAAGTGGAACTGAAGACTATTTTTGAAAAATGCTATAATAAACCTAATATAAGAATTTTAAATCCATTTTTCTTATTACAGAGAAACTTACCAAATAAATGAAAAGGCTTCACTGCATACTTTTCATTGCTGTTTTTTTTTAATTATTTATTTGAGACTTAAAAAAAACTTCTAAATTTTTAGACTACTAACAAGGTTTTTGCTAGTTAAGTGCTTGTGAGAACTAGCAGTGTTATTTATAAATGTTAATTCAGCTATACATTTCATTTGATGTGGTATCGTTATGTATACAGAACCTTAGAATATTTAAATTCTTACAGAACAGTATGGAAATGTGGTAGCTTGGTCATAAGGATCTGTCGTGGTCCTAAGAATGATTTGTTCAACTCCCAGTGTCTGGTTAGCTCCAAGCATTCAAATGAGAACGTGTGGTTTGATTTGCAGTGATGTTTGCAGCCTCACTTCAGGTGAAAATTGGGAATTGAATATCTTTTACAACTTTGTTATTGTATCGTTACCGAGTGTTTTTGTTTTGTCCTCATCCGAGGACACTCACTTGACATTAATTTGAGAGCGAGAACGTCAGTGTGAGAGAGAAACATCAGTCAGCGGCACGCACCGTGACCTGGGATGGAACCTGCAACCTAGGTGCCCGGCGGGGAATCACACCTGCAAACGTCTGGTGCACAGGACAGTGCTCCAACCGACTGAGCCCCCTGTTCAGGGCACTACCTTTTGTAACAAGTTAATTATGACAGAGATTTTACGTGGTTCAGGTTGCTTTGTCAGGCCTGATGCTTACAAGTGTACGGAGGAGTGACAAGTGGACAAGAGAGTAGATGAGATTAGACGAGAGAATGAGTGATAGTTCTTCACAGAGGAGAGGGCAGATCCTGCAGGATATGTCCAGCTCACATCTCACACTGAGGCTCCTGCTGGTGTCAGTCTGAACGTCACCGAGTGGGAAGAGAGTGTTGTTTCCCAGCTGCACTTAGGCATGAGACCATGGTGCATGCGTGTGTGCGCGCGCTTGTGCATGCGTGTGTGCGCACGCTTGTGCATGTGTGTGTGTGTGCACTTGTGCATGTGTGTGCGTGCGCATGCATGGTAGTTTATGACCAAAAGGAACCTTTCGCTTTTTTCAAAAACAAAAAAAAAATCATCTTATGAAGGTCAACTGCCTTCACTTTGCACGACTCACCACTAGATGGCAAGCTGGTAGCCTTGGCCTCAAAACTCCGCAGCAGCAGCAGCTGGTATTTCTCCCAGGGAGCTGGGGGGTGGGGTCTCTTTAAAAGGTATATGTAGATACCACTTCCTTAGGAAAATCAAAGTCTTTACTGTCAAAAATATAACTTACATCCCTAGTTTTTATTAGATTCCTTAAATATACAGTCATTTTCTTGAAATACAAAATTTATGTTCAGGAACCATATCTCTTTTGGTCAGAAATTTTCTTTTAGCCCTGGCCGGTTTGGCTCAGCGGTTAGAGCGTCGGCCTGCGGTCTGGAGAGACCCGGGTTCGGTTCCCGCTAAGGGCATGTACCTCGGTTGCAGTTTGTCCCCGGCCCTGGTTGGTCGTGCGGGTGGCAGCCACTCGATGTGTCCCTTCACGTCGATGTTTCTCACTCTCTCTCCCTTCCTCTCTCTCCCTCCCATTCTATCTGTACCAAAAATGGAAAAAATATCCTCGGGTGAGGATAAAAAAAAAAAAGAAATTTTCTTTTAAAAAGTCCGGGCCTGCTCCTCGTGGCCCGTCAAAGATGCACGCGTAGCTCATGACCCTCATTTTTACGAAGTGGGGTCCTGTTTCCCCAAGTGATGACCATAGGTTGTGTCCCAGCTCTTCTTAATTTCCAGTCCAAGCCAATGCCGAGCTCACAAAGCAGCAGATTTACTCTCCATTAATCCCATCTCATAATCCCCCAATAAACCCATTTTGTCGGATAGCCAGCTGCCTCGTAGACAAGGCGAGTGCCACAGGTTTGTGTAGAGGACACGTGGGAAATCAGTTGAGTAGATTTGTGGCCAGTCCACTGTCCTATGGACTTGAGCCACCAGAGTTGGTGGATGGCTTGGGGATCACCCCAAGTAAGGGGCCACAGGTCCCACAGGTCCGTCCCTAGCCCTGCCCTGGCCAGCATTACCAGTGAGCTGAAGTGAAGACAGAGAGTGGGTTCTACCAAATGACAGAATTAAGGTCCAAAAGCGTCTTCCACTCTGTGAAGGTCCAAAATCAGTCAGATGAACTTCAACAAGAAGCCAACACGAACCTGAGCGGACTGAGTCGCGGAGGTGGGCTTGCTCGTGACCATTGCAGAGAGGCGGTCGTGGGAGAGCTTGGCCCACCCGGCCAGAGGCTGGCGGTGAACCGCAATGTGGTGCGAGTCCCAGGGACACGGCGGCAGAGGACACTAACCTGCCCGCAGACTCCTGTCACTGAGGGAATGTCGCCTCACAGACCACTGCCTGCTCGCA